CCAATCGAAAAGCATCAGGTCTTTACTAATCGCTGCCGGGCGCTGCGCGATTAGCCACAAACCGATGGTTTCTGATGGCCATGTGACGGGCGAAGACTGGCTCGGAGCTTTCCCTGGGGGTCGCTCAGGCCGTTGCGGCGCATCGGAATAACTCGAGGCGACAGGTGAGCCGCGGATGCTTCGCAGAGAGGAACTGGGTGATGCCTGGGAAGGTCCTGAGGGAAGGACCTCTCAGGGGCTTCTGGACGCCTGTCAGGGGTCTGTTCGAGTGGCCTTGGACGAGAACTTTTGGAGGGCGCTGGAAAGGCGTCGAAGGCTGTTGGAGTTCTCGTGGGAATGATGGGAGCCTCTTCGGGCGGTCATGGGTGACTCGTGGCGCCTCCTGGGGGCCTCTGGAGCTGTTGAGACGCGGCGGGGGTCCTCTGGGGCATCGGTGCTGCCGTTTTGGGAACGTTGGCCTAGAAGGCTTCGACGCGAGGCATCGGTGCTTCCGCTTTGGAAACTGAGAGTAGATTTGCAGCCTAATTTCCTCGTGGAGTCCATCCAAGAGGCGTCGGGCTTTTCCTAATCGCTGCCTGGCGTTGCGCGATGAGCAAACACCGCATGGCTTTTGATGGCCATGTGACGGGCGAAGACTGTCTCGGAGCTTTTGCTAGAAATCGCCCAGGCAGCTGGGACGCATCGGAATAGCTTGAGGCGGCAGGTGAGCCGTGGATGCCTCGCAGAGAGGATCCGGGTGATGCTTGGAAAGGTCCTCAGGGAAGGACCTCTTAGGGGTTTCTGGACGCCTGTCGGGATCTGTTCGAGTGGCCTTGGGGCGTTTTGAAGGTTCTCCGGGAACTTGTGGGGGTCGTTGGAGAGGCGCGGAGGGCTGTTGGAGTTCTCTTGGGAAGTATGGCAGCCCCTTTGGATGGTCATGGGTGCCTCCTGGCGCCTCCTGGGTGACCTGTGGAAGAGCTTTTGACACGCTGTGGAAGTCCTGCGGGGGGTATCTTGGGGAGCGCTGGAGGCGTTTTGTAATCTTGTGGGACCGATTCCATCAAGATGTAGGTTGGGAACCCCGTCCAGAGCAGATTTTTCGAGGATGTCGCTAGTGACGCGGGCGCTGTGGCAGTCTTTTGGGTTGGTCGCGGTAGTGGTCGTTGTGGTGGCGTTGTTGGTGCTGTTTGTCGCAGTCGTGGTCGTTGGGCTGCTGCTTGTCGCAGCCGTAGTCGCGCTGCTGCCGCTGGTCGCTATAGTGGCCGTGCCGGTGTTGGTCGTGCTGCTGCTGCAAGTTGTCGTGGCCGCAGTCGTGGTCGTGGCAGTGGTGATGCTGGTCGCAGTCGTGATCGCGCCGTTGGTCGCAATCGATGTTGCTGATGTAATGCAGGTGCTGCGGCTGGTGGCAGCCGTGGCCATCTTGTTGGTACTGGTCGCAGCCGTGGTCGTGCTTCAGCTGGTCTATGTAGTGGTCGTGGCGCTGCTCCCGTTGCTGATGCGGGTCGCTGTCGTGGCCCCGAGCCTCCTGGCGTCTCCTGGGGGCCTCGTGGAGAGATCTGGAGACGCTCTGGGAGTCCTCTGGGTGGTATCTTGGGGTTCGCTGCGAGCGTTTTGTATCCCTCTGGGACGGATTCCAGCAAAAAGTAGGTTGGGGGTCCCTCTGGGGCCTATTTTTGGAGCATGTCTCTAGCGCTGTGGGAGTCCTCTGGTGGGTGTCTTGGGGAGCGCTGCAGGCGTTTCGTAACCCTCGGGGACCGTTTCCAGCGAGATGTAGGTTGGGAGTCCCCTCCCGGGCCGGTTTTTTGAGGAACTCGAGCGAAACGGGCATTTCTGAAACCTGACCGGACAAGAACGGGAAGCGTCCTTTTGTCCCCTGGGCTTATGAGATATTCCACGTTTTTAGTACGGCATACCACAGCAGTGCCACGTACCACTGCCGTGCTCCTTTGGGGTCTGCCGTGCTCCTGTGGAGTTTGCCGTGCGAACGTGTGGTCTGCCGTGCTCCTGTGTGGTCTGGCGTGCTCCTGTATGGTCTGCCGTGCTCTTGTGTGGTTTGCCGTGCTCCTGTGTGGTCTGCCGTGCTCCCGTGGGGTCTGCCGTGTCCTGTGTGGTCTGCCGTGCTCCTGTGTGGTCTGCCGTGCTCCTGTGTGGTCTGCCGTGCTCCTTCTTGGTCTGCCGTGCTCATGTGGTGTCTGCCGTGCTCCTGTGCGGTCTTCCGTGCGAACGTGTGGACTGCCGTGCTCATTTGGGGTCTGCCTTGCTCCTTTGTGGTTTGCCGCGCTCCTGTGTGGTCTGCCGTGCTCCTGTGTGGTCAGCCGTGCTCCTGAGGCGTCTACGGTGCTCTTTTGGGGTCTGCCGTACTCATTTGGGGTCTGCCGTGCTCCTGTGGTCGGCCGTGCTCATTTGGGGTCTGCCGCGCGCCTGTGAGATCTGCCGTGCTCCTGTTGGGGAAACGCCAGCGGCGTTCGGGGTACAACAAAAAGGCGCGTTTATGTTGTACCCGCGCGCGGTCTGCCGTGCTCCTGTGGGTTCCGCCGTGCTCCTGTGGCGTCTGCCGTGCTCCTGTGGCGTCTGCCGGGCTCCTGTGTGGTCTGCCGTGCTCCTTTGTGGTCTGCCGTGCTCCTGTGGAGTCTGCCGTGCTCCTGTGTGGTCTGCCGTGCTCTTGTGGTCTGCCGTGCTCATTTGGGATTTGCCGTGCTCATGTGGGGTCTGCCGTACTCCTGTGTGGTCTGCCGTGCTCCGGTGGTCTGCCGTGCTCCTTTGGGGTCTGCCTTGCTACTGTGGGGTCTGCCGTGCTCCTGTGTGGTCTGCCGTGCTCCTGTGGTTTGCCTTGCTCCTGTGTGGTCTGCCGTGCTCCTTTTGGGTCTGCTCTGCCGTGCTCCTGTGGGGTCTGCCGTGCTCCTGTGGGGTCTGCCGTGCTCTTGTGGGGTCTGCCGTGCTCTTGTGTGGTCTGCCGTGCTCCTTTGTGGTCTGCCGTGCTCCTGTGTGGTCTGCCGTGCTCCTGTGTGGCCTGCCGTGCTCTTGTGTGGTCTGCCGTGCTCCTGTTGGTCTGCCGTGCTCTTCTGTGGTCTGCCGTGCTCCTATGGGGTCTGCCGTGCTCCTGTGGGGTCTGCCGTGCTCATGTGTGGTCTGCCGTGCTCCTGCGCGGTCTGCCGTGCTCCTGTGGCGTCTGCCGTGCTCCTGTGTGGTCTGCCGTGCTCCTGTGGTCTGCCGTGCTCATTTGGGGTTTCCCGCCAGCTTGTGGGGTCTGCCGTGCTCCTGTGGGGGAAACGCCAGCGGCGTTCGGGGTACAAGAAAAGGCGCGTTTATGTTGTACCTGTGCGCGGTCTGCCGTGCTCCTGTGGGGATTGCCGTGCTCCTGTGTGGTCTGCCGTGCTCCTGTGTGGTTTGCCGTGCTTCTGTGGTCTGCCGTGCTCCTTTGTGGTTTGCCGTGCTCCTGTGGGGTCTGCCGTGCTCCTGTGGGGTCTGCCGTGCTCCTGTGAGGTCTGCGGTGCTCTTGTGTGGTCTGCAGTGCTTCTGTGTCTGCCGTGCTCATTTGGGATCTGCCGTGCTCGTGTGGTGTCTGCCGTGCTCAACCCATATAGTTAAAGAAAAGATATATTTACTCAAGGATTCAGCCAGAACGTCCCGCTTGTTCGGCCGTCTTGAGGGCACTCTTAGGGCATAGTCTGCCGTGCTCCTCGTCTTGGTCTGCCGTGCTCCTCGTCTTGGTCATCCTTTCCGTCGTCTTGAGGGCGCTCTTGGTGCCTGGTCTGCCGTGCTCCTCGTCTTGGTCTGCCGTGCTCCTCTCGGTTTCAGTGCCTGGTCTGCCGTGCTCCTCGTCTTGGTCTGCCGTGCTCCTCTCGGTTCCTGCGCGCGGTCTGCCGTGCTCCTGTGGGGAGCACGGCAGACCACAGGAGCACGGCAGACCACACAGGAGCACGGCAGACCACACCTCGATTTTTTGAGGATGTCTCGAGCGAAATGGCCATTTTGGGGAATCCGCCAACGAAAAATCCCGTGCGGCGCGGCAACCCATAGATATAAAGATATATATATATATATATATATATATATATTTACTCAAGGATTCAGCCAGAACGTCCCGCTTGCTTCTCGTACCTCGAAGACGCTTCCCGTCATCCGCCAACGCCTGTCCTGCGTGCGATCCGGAGCCCCATAGAACAAATTCTTTGAGAACAACGGTCCGCGATCCTCGCTCCTCGTACGCGCTTCCCGTCATCCGCCGACCCTGTCGGCGTGTGGGAGAGTCTTGTCCGTCTTCCCCACAGCGTAGTCGCCTCTTCTGCTTTCCGAGGGCTCCCTACACAAGTCCAAACAAAAATTGAACAACGTCGTCCTTCAGTCGCAGGGAAGCCCTTTCCCTAGATCCCTTCCCCGCCGGGGGGGTAAATCCCGGGGCAACTCCCGGGGGGGGGGTCCCCCGTACTCCCGGGAAGGGGTCCCCCCTTCTCCCGGGGGGGTCCCCCCTCGGATGCGCAGCCCCCGCCTCTCATACTCCTGCGTCCTGGGGCTCCGTTGGCCCTCCAGGGCAGTCTGCGGGCCCTTTCAGCCTATCTTAAGGCTCCTTGAAGACCTTTCACAATTTTTACTCTCTTGGCTGCCTCGCCTACTCTGCGGGCGCTTTTAGACCTCGCTTGGCGCCGTCTTGGAACCCTCTCGGGCCACTTGAGGGCGCCCTTTGCCTATCTGGGCACTCTCTGGAGCCGTGCACGAACCCTGGAGGAGGCATCTTGAGCTGTGTTCGGACGACCTTGTAGGCATCTGGCGCCGCCTTCGAGCCATCTGAGGGCATCTTGGACTCCTCTACCTCCATTGTCTTCGTCGTCGCTGCCTACAGGGTCGGCGGCATCGGCCGTAAGGCATTCGCAATATGTTTACGTAGTTGTTTGTTCTTCGATCGCCTCTTACGAAAGCTGCCAGGGGTACTCCACGTGCGCACGGCACCGCATTCCGAGTGGACCCCAGCGGGGTGGCCAATCGACGCCCAAGAGCCACCGAATGTATCCGACGAAACGCACTTCGACTATGCTCCTGGTTCTCCAAAGAAGGACGGAGGCGGAAAGAGAAGCTCCAGACCCCTTTCTGCCCGAGTCCCCTGCAGGTGCTGCGAGGGCGTGCGCGGGATCAGTGGGCGTGCGGCTTGCAGCGCTTCTTGCAGAGGCTCCTCCAGCGGCCGCCGCCCGGCAGTGGCTCTCGCGGAGCCCCTCCACCATGCGCACCCCAACCCTGCCCCTATTCCTCATCATCTCCTCGTCCACCGCCTCGTCCCGCCCCTCTCGTGCTCGTCGTCGTCGTCGTCGTCGTCGTCACCGTGTTCCTCGCCCTCCTCGCTGACTGATGTTCAGCATCATGGGATCCATCTTTCCCTCAGTGGGGAAGCTGATAGCTCCCCAAGGAGTGAAGTCAAGCGGCCCCCACTCGTCGGACGGTTCGTGTACCATCACAGCCATGCAACTTATTGCGTCCCTTTTCAGCTGGCCTGGCTATGTGCGTGGAGCTTGCTTCACATCGACACAACAATCGGACGCCGCGACACCAAGACTAGCGCAACCGGGATAACGACATCAAGACGTCCCGAGGCAACGTGCGTACTTGCGACGCACCAGGAGTAGCCCATGAGTCGTGTTTCCAGGGCAAAGCTTCACAGCGAAAGCATCAACAGCACATCGAAGATGCGCTCTTCAGCCAGAGGCAGGATTGCGATCAGCCCAAAGCGCAGTCTCGCGGCACGTGGCGCGCGACGAGCTTCTCATAGTACTTCCCTGGAAAATAAACTGTCGCCGTGTTCGCGCTTGTCGACTATTCGACCCGCAGGGGCCATGAGACAGCGCAGCTCAGGTGCCCCACGGGGCCAGTGGGCCGAGCTATCAGACATCCAGATCTCTCCTTGTTCCCTCACCCTCCAAGGGCTGCTAGGCACAAGCCCTGTCAACAACGGCGCCATGCCCCCGCCTATTTTTCGTCTGCTCGTCTTGTTATTATTATCTGTCTGCTCACCCATCTCCTTGTGCTCCTGCCCCCCCCCGAGCCCCTCACCTAACCCACCCATCACGCACTTGAAGCACGGCCGAAATAATCCCACCGTTTCGCTTTGCTCCTTGAAGTCGGCCTCAGTCACCCCAAGGGACCCTTCTTATCGACAAGGTGGATCTTTGACAATCGTCCATAGAACAATACGTTTGCCCTCAATGCGTTGTTCGCATTCATTTACGTGTATATATACACATACAGACTGGAAGCGCGCACAGTTGTTGTCAATGGACCTTGCGCGAATCCACGATGCCCAAGATATTTCCAGAACGCCTTCTTGGAAGTCCTCTGGGGGTTTTCCCGGAGCGTCGCGGGGGTTTCTGGATCCATCTCGAATCCCTTTTTGCCGGCCTCCTCAGGGTTGGGAGGAGGCGTCGGCGTCTGTGGCGCCCACCTGTGGGCTCACGTGGAGGCGTCGCAGGCTATCTTGGAGCTCTCCTGCGCCGTAACGGGCCTTTCCTGAGCCGTCTCGGGGCTTTTCGAAGCCTTCCCTCGCTGCTGCTTTCGGCAAATTCCGCGACCACGGTCTCGGGGCCGTCTCGAAGGCCTCTGGAAGGAACTCGTCGAATGCCTCTTACGGTCTTGAGTATTGGGGCGATGCTTGTCGCGGCAATCGTTGGCTTCTGCGGCTCACGAGGCCTTGGAGCGCTCTCTTCGGGCCATCTTGGCCGGTCCGAAAGCGAAATGTGCTGGTCAGCAAGAGCGATGCCGTCTGCAGGCGGAGGTCACCTGCAAATCGGTACAAGAGCCTGACACGCCCGTGCGCGAGTGGCATACCGATTGACCAGCTGAAAAATCTCCGTCGCAGAACAAATAAACATAATGTCTAAAACAATTCGGAAAAAAAAACAGGGGGGACGGCAAAAAACATACTCATTCCCATCGCTGTACATGAAAACTAAAGGAAAGCGGGGCAAGCTCGACCGCCGGGGACGTCCCCGCGACCGCCCTGTCGCTCCGCGTTCGAGGGCAGTTTCCTGCGCACCCCCTTCTAGGCGTCAGGACACGCTTGCCACGCCCTGAGAACCTGGCGTAGAGACTGCGCTCAGGGATTACTCCTTGTGCACCCTGTCTGGGTCGCGAGAGGGCTGCACTTGACACGCCGTGCGACCTGGAGTGGTCGAGACCGTGCTCAGGGATCACTCCATGCACGCCCACGCTGGTGCCGAGAAACCGCCGCGCCAGCATTGCCTTGCGACCCTGGCGTGGAGCCCCTCGGGCCGTCTTGGACGCTGTGAAAGCCCGAGCGGCGAATATGGTTAAAAAGTGCGCCTCCTGGAAGGAATGAAGCCCGGTTTTCCTTTTGGGGCCCTCTTGGGAGGCCTCTTGGGGGCTTGTTGGCGGTGTTGAAGGTATGTTTGAAGCTATATTGAGCCATCTCGGCCGTCTTGGAGGGCATCTAAATCGTTTTGGAGCGCGAGAGAAAGAGAGAGAGAGAGAGAGAGAGAGAGAGAGCTCCTGGAGCCCCGGCACCGTCATGAGGGAATGAGCCTGCCCCCCCCAAGGCCTGGAAGGCCGGTGAGTTTCAAGGGGGCTGGGAGGCCCCGCCAACAGCTTCGCCTCAGGCGAAGCCAAGCTCCAGCTCGGTGGCATCGTAGTAACGATAGTCCCATTGCAAGAGGGGATGCCATGTCAAGTAAAAGGGGATGCCTTTTAGCATCGACAACGATAGTGTGCCTCGCGGTGAGGCACAATCAAACCTAGGCGGCCGGCCGCTTTGAGCCAACACGGCCGCGGGCGCACGCTCGCTTCCGCTCCTTACGTCCCCCAGCTCGCTTTAGAATCGGGGGCGAGGGAGAAGAAGCGCGCGTCCGCCACCCATATAGCGAGAACAGTTCAGCAGCTAACCTATACAACGACAGGAAAGGAGACGGACCCAAAGGAGTTGGACCCGTCAGCGAGTTGCCTCGCGAATGTAGAACACACGCATCAGGCGGCGTCAGAACTTGATGTCTGGCCGGCCCGATATGGCGCATGTATCTTCAGGTCATGTTTGAAGGTCTGTATACCTCCCATGACTTGTAGGAGCATGTATTTGTCAATGCTCCCTTTTGTGTGTCCATCCAGTCATATCGTGGGTATCACACCACTGAATGCTATGCACGATTCCGCGCTCCATCATCTGTCGTACCCAACTTATGTGTCCTAGAAGGGCACACTCAATCGGCTTCTTCAAGTCTTTGCTTGACAAGGACTTGAAGACAGACTCAGCATCGATTGCCAAGGTGACCTCGATGCTCAGGCCACCCAACTCAAGTACGTCTTTCAACTGAGTGGGCGTGAGTGGCCCCGCATGGAGCTCGCGCAGAGTCACAACCGTGGAATAGCAGTCCTCCGAATTACGGGCTGCTGCAAGTGTCACAGTGTCTCTGCTGAGTAGCTTGAGCGGACTTGCAAGCGGTGAGATTTGCAGTGCGCATCAAACAAGTGAACGACACGCTGGCCAGATGACGTGTTTCCACGTCGTAGCAGGTCTGCCCCACGAATGGCATAGCCTTCGACGTCGTCGTCGGCGTCTCCACTCAGGCGTCGGTAGCCTGAGTCGCTGTGTAGGTCGACCTCGCCCGTGGGGTTCATCGCCCGGTAGATGATCTTCTTCGGGCAGGCCTGTAGCTTTCTGGTGTTCGCGTTCAGTCGTCGCACTTGAAAATTGGTCGTTTCTTGGACACGTTGGAGAGAGATGCAACATAGACCACCAACCAGATCTGGGTGATCAATTCGCATGCCAGCGCACCTCTGAGGCTGACGAACATATCTGCCACCATCTTGGTCGCTTGAGCGTCAGCGTCAGCGCCGGTCAACTCAGGATGCTGTGTAGGACGGAGCTATTTAATGTATGCACCTGGATCCAAAGCGACATCGCAATCCTCAACCTTGGTGTATATCACAGCGCAGTTTGTATATGTGTGCTTGTTGAGTTTACACTTACCAAAGGTATCCCCAACGCATTTGCCATACTTGTCAATAGTGCCCTCAGTACCGGCCATGTTAACGTCATCAACATGTTTGGCCGTGGGCAGGTTGCTGCTCGTCTCGAACTCCTCGTCGTAGGACGTTGGTCGGAGGCCAACCCCTCTGGTGGTTCTCCTGAGCTTGAGTGCGAAAGCCCGTGGGGCGCTCTTAGTGCCTGTGCCCGGTTTCAAGCACTGCAAACAGTGCTTTGACTCGTCGTAGTTCTCACATCCTGGAAGAATACGGAGCACAGTTGCCGACCCAGGCGGCAAAGTAAAGCAAGCCACGCGTTCCTTTCCACCAGTTCACCAGCTGCCCCGGCGAGTTCTCCATGGGCCAATCCCTTTAGGAAGGCAATGTTGATGCCCAGGGAAGCAATGATCCACTGATTATTGCACGCTGCCGTGCTGGCAAGGAACCTCTGGCTTGACCTTCTGACTGTTCCCGAACATGTTTCTACATCGAAAACTTCTAGGTCCATGACGCCTCGAAATGCCAAACGAAGTCGGGTGGTGCGTTCCATCTCACCCGTCCTTTTTTTACGGATTTACATGTGTATACATATCTCGAAGTCATGATGTTCGACGCTTTGGCGATCTCCTGCATTTTGAAGCATGCGTTGTCAAACCATGTCTTAGGCTCAGTGGTAAGGGCCTTCGATATTTTCTCAGGATTTGCCTGGATGTCAGCCTTGGCGAGGAGGCCATCTTCCTTGACGACCGCAGCTCGCTTTGCAGCGGCAGCAACATATACTCGCACGGCGGTCGCCCAACCGGCGTCCAACTGCATGTGTTGCTGCTCGGACAAGACTACCTTTGACATCTCTGTCGTAAAGCAAAACTCAACGTATGGCCCGTTTTCGTCAGAGTCGGGTCCGTAGCTGTCGTCTTCGACCATGGTGTACATGGGAGAGTAGTACGTTTCCTCGGCATCGGGATCACGAGTGCGCCCCCGCTTCGGCAGGCGCCCCCGCTGTTCATCAGCTTAAGAGATCAACGCACTCTGGTCAGGAACCATATGTGCGGGTACGGTAAAGAAGTCTTCTAATGGAGCTGCCTCCAACAATTCCTTTTCCTCTCGCAACTCTGCGTACCATACCTCCATGACATGTGGCTCAAGATCAGCTTCTGATTCCTCGTAGATCGTAGAAAGCCGTCCGTTCTCATGTTCTGGTTCGGCTTC